AGGGCGCTTGGTTTCAGCTGCCCCTGCTGGCCCTGCCTCTCCTGAGGGGGGAGAAGTCACCGAAGTTCCCCCCTCAGGAAAGAAGAGGTCAGCGAGGGGAGCCCCTCATCCTGCACGCTCCCCCCCATCGATAAAGTACTTTACATGGGGCAGATAAGGAGGGTCATGCTTATGTTGTTGCTGCTGGTATCTCCAGGGGCTGTGTTTATCAAGGTCCCATTGCCCCTTGTCTCGTCACCACTGCTTGCTTTTGTCCCTGGAAAAAATGATGATGCTCTTCCAGGCTTGCCAGTGAAGAGCGGTGGGCATGTACAGAAGTTGCTCGTTTCACCATTTGCAGCACTTTATTGCCTTGACTTAACAGAAGTGCATGGGTTTACAGCACTTTAAAAATGAATGCAGCACTTCCATTTGTAGCTCTGTATTTTACAGTGCTTTAAATAACTTCTATACGCTGGGCACGTTTCAGAGCAATGGAGAGGTCCTAGGAGGCTGCAGAACACCCCCTGCCTCCTAGCTTGGAAAGTGCAGGTAGGCTCAGAGCCGCCCCCCCCATTACAACTGTCATGTTTAAGAGCTTGTAACTTTATAGTGCTATAAAAAAGTGCTGTATACTACAGTGCTGTAAAACATGCCTGCAGAACTTCTGTACACACCCTGAGTGATGATGACAAATTGTTTCCAAGTAGATGGGCAGTACTGTAGACTGGCTGGTTTAGCCAAGGTGCTGTGCTACTGAACCTACAAGGTGCTGAGTAAGTTTAGTGGGAGTTCAAAGTGTTCAGCATCCATGGCTCGTAGATGTGCCTTGTACCAGATGTTGGGCCCAGCATTTGCTGAACGAGTGCAGCTATTAGAAAGGTTGAAAAGGAAGTACAGCAGAAGGGACTTGTTGGTGTATTAGGAGAGATGAGACTACTCTACTGAATTGATCCCTGAGGTCTCTGGTAGTGACAGCGGGAGACCTAGTATAGATAAATGCACCTATGTAGTAGTCAGACAAGGTTCTTTGGGTGAATCTGATATCTTTTATTAGGCCAACTTAAATAGTTGGAAGTTTGTTTTTTTTAGCAAGCTTAGTAATAGCTGCCAACATTTTAATTGCAGTAATTTGTAGACCTCCTGAGCAGGGTTAGTTGCCTGGACTTTGACCTACAGCATTACTCCTGACACAATGTAGCAGATATGGCCTAAGTAAAGGTAAGAACATTTTAGAGAAAAAAGGCAAGTGTGATGACTTTGGGGTTGGACTAGATGACCTCTCAAGGTTCCTTCCAGTCCTACTTCTCTATGAAAGCCTAATTCATATAGCTTCATTGGTGCCTATTAATGCAAACTAGAGGTGGCCACAAAGGCAGCTTACAGACGTAAAAAAAACAACTCCACAAAAATGGCACTTTACTTAATACTTGGTGTGCCCCTGCACCAAACCTAGCACATGCCCAGAAGAGGTATTGCATTAGTTTGACCTGGCTCACCTAATATCTGTATAGATTGGGCTCTTCAGCGGGGTCTTTTTGGCACTTTTATCTAAGAGCTGATTGAATCAGCTCTTAGACAAAAGCGGCACATGCGATCTATACAGGCACTGTGGAGCTGGGTGGAACTAATGCACTGCTTCTTTCCGTAAAGTGTGTTGGGGGGGGTATTTTTTCACATCTGTCAGCAGCCAAAATTTCCAGTGGAATAAAATTTCATCAGTTAAATTCTGCTTTGTTGAACCAAAGATAGTTCATACGAAACCTCTCAGGCTGAGTGAGCTTTCGCTCATTCCAAAGGAGGGTTCTAAAGGCCTAGATTGCCGGCAGGTTCGCCTTGTGCTGGGGACCCTTGGAGCTTTCGGCAGCAGCTCTGCAAAATTGACATTTTTTGTCAGCCTCATTGCTGACATGATTGTCAGTTTCACTGGGCAGCTGCAGGGGCCAAGGAGCTTCCAGTTTGTCAGAACTGGATAGAAACCAAATTTAAAACAATTTAAAAAGACAGCTCTCATTTAAACTGAAGATTACTCAGTTCAGCCGCACAAACATTAGACACTTATCATTACCTGTGTACCATAGAAGAAGCTAGGGCAATGAAAATTATGAGGTTAGTCTGAAGAAGACATATATTTCTTAACAAGTTGTAAGTGTCTTGTGGTAGCTAGTCTTTCATTCTGATATAATGTATGAGTCTATTGTTTTCCTTCAAATGTATTATAGTAGCATCTATTTGTAAGCTATCAAGTGAGAAAAATGAGGCCCAATTACAGTGGGGCTGCCAGTGCCAACCCTTTGCTGACATCTGCAGTTAATTTTATTGTAAAATTTGAAACACCAAAATGAAAATAGTTTCTAAACAGATGTCTAAGGGCTTGAGGTTGTGAATATTGAATAAGCATGTGAAACAGTCTTGCTGTTTGCCCCTGGATCTGATATTAAGAGTTTCTAGATCAAGTTCTACTTTTTAAGAACCTGGGATAGTATTTTGACCCTGCTGAAGTCAAAGATTGTTTTCCTGTTATCTTCCATGGGGCCAGAATTTCATCCAAGGATCCAACTGGCTCGCTCTTAGCCAAGAAAAGTATTTCCTTTTTATATGGCACCGAAACTGCTGTTTTGAAAAACTTAAACAAAAACTAGAATTTTAAAACTGGCTCCTTTTCTTGGGGTGAATGCATTGGGGTGAATCTAGCTTGTGCCTGAGACTTGATAATACTCCTTAATTATCAAAGAATATTTGTTTTTCAAGTAAGCATGTTTTATCTTTAGTTAGAGCCAATTTTACAAAATGATGCACAAAAATAGACACCAGTAGGCAAAGAATCTTGTACTGTAAACAGTGTACAAATGATAAGGATTTGGGAGATGCAGATGAGAATCCTCTGGGACTCCAAAATTAGGTCTTATTTTGCATTATTGCAGGGGTGCTCAACTCTTGGCCCACAGGCCAGATCTGCCCCGGGGCTCCCCAAGGGTCTGGAAATTTGGTGAGGAGGGAGCAGCCTCAGTTAATCCTGGCACTACTCCCCCACCACAACATTTCCAAACCCCACAAGCGAGGTAATATAGCTCTAGGTGCAGGATCATGCTGGCATGTGGGGAAATAGGGCTGGAGCAGCAGGCCTGATCTGACCTGTGTGGGGCTTGGGCAGTAGGGCCTAATGCAGTGCATGCAGACCTGCGGATGAAATTGAGGCATCAAGCCCAATCTAGTGTGTGGGGAGCTGGGTTGGCAGGCCTGATCTGGGGTACACAGGGCCGGGCCTTGGGCAGTGGGACCTGATCCAGCACACTCAGAGCCAGGTCTGGGACTTAGGCAGCAGCATTACCCGATCCAGTGCACAGAAGATCAAAGCTGTGTCTGGGGCAGCAAGCCTGGTCCAGTGTGAAGCCAGGGCCGTACCCATGATATGATATTCAGGATCGTGCCCCAGCACTGTGTGTGCAGCATCAGGCCTACAGATTGGATCTGGCCTGCAGTCCCACCCCACCCCACTCATCCAGCCACAGGGCCGAAAGGGTGGCATCCCTGCACTATTGCAAATGTATTTTAATGAGTGTGCAGAATTATGTTTATTTCTAGCTTATGCATTGCTTTTGATAGGAGAGGTTTATGTCTGCATCTAGCCAAATAACCCAGTATCTGTGGTTATAATGCAGCTAAAAACAAGATTATAGGAACAATCAAGTGGATAATAGAATTATCAGCTCCCTGCCCGGTTTTGTGTTTTTTATAACATGTATGCGGTTTGCTCTACTGCCCATTGAACTTGGTGAGGGCATTTCCATTGAGTTCAATGAGCTCAAACTCAGGCCCACAGTTTCTAAAACAGTTTGGGGGCTGTTACAAGCTTCCATAAATGCTTATTTTCTCTCAAGAATAGTTTTGCTGTAGGGGTTTAATGGCACTTTTCATTGGAGTTTAAATTTATATTCTGAACACTGGCTGCCTAAATTATGTAAAATAGTTTGAATAGGTACACAGTACTGCAAATAGGCTTGTCTGTGATCATTTATTTTTTCCCTCAGAGTGCAATATTGACAAAAGTCTGCTTCCATGACAATGCACAACAGATTTCTTAATAATCTGATGCCACTACAAACAAGGAGTGTTTTTGCTTCATCTTCATGTTAGCCACTTCTTTTATCTTAATGTGTATTTCCCAGATCAGTGCTGCCCAACTTTTTGGTTTTGTGGGCTGAATGAGTGGTACAAGATGAGCCTGCAGGCTGTGCTTGTGAGCCCTATCCAGCGTGTATGAGGCTGCAGCTTGATCTGGCGCGCTCCGGATCAGGCTCTGGGCTTGCATATATCATGGTCCCAGCCCCATGCCAGATTAGGCCCACCACTTGAGCCCAGCCCCAGCTCCAACTCCAACCACACATGCACTGGATTAGGTCTGCTACTCCAGCTCCAGCCCCATCCCTGTACGCAGTGAATTGGATGCATTATCCTGGCTCCAGCACTTACTGTGCGCGCTGGATCAGACCTGCTGCCCCAGCCCCTTTTGTGTGTTGGATTAGGCCCTGCCATTCCAGCCCCAGCCCTATACATGACCAATCGAGCCCCACTGCTCTGTCCTCAGCTCCAGTCCTGACTCTGCGTGCATCAGATCAGGGCTGCTGCACCAGCCTCAGCCCTGGTCTCAGCCCCACATAGACTGGATTGGGTCATGCTTTCCAAGCCTCAGCCTCATCCACACCAGATCAGACCCTGCCATCTGGGCTCTGGCCCTGCACAAGCCTGATTGGGCCTTGCCGCGTTACGCCTGGCCCCATGCACATGAGATCAGGCCCACTTCTCTGACCTTGGCCCTGGTCTAGGCCCCAGCCCTGGGCCTGGGCCTGCATGTAGTGGATCAGACCTGCTGCCACAGCCCCATGTGCACTGGATCAGGCCCCACCACCCTGCTCCCAGCACTGTGAGTGGTAGATTGGACCTGCTGCTGCAGCTCCAGTTCCTACCCTAGCACTGTGAGCTGGTGGGATCATGCATGCGAGGCCATGTCATCTGGCCCATGGAGACTGGAAATTTGTCAATGGGGGAGTGCTGATGGCATTAATTGGTGCTATTTCCTGCTCCCCAAATTTATGGACTCTTGGTCTAAATTGAAGAAAGTATGAAACTTATAAAAAGGTCTACCACAGGGCCGGGCAATTATTTTGGGTGGAGGGACGCTCACTGAGTTTTGGCAAGTCATTGAGGGCCCCATGACAGACACCCAGGGGCAGGTTAATATTAATTTTCTAAATTTTTTAGGGGCCCTGTGGGCCGGATAGAATGTCCTGGTGGGCCGCATCCAGCCCGCGGGCTGCATTTTGCCCACCTCTGGTCTACAATGTATGATAGGCTGTTTGCTATATGTTAAAGTTAACTATGTTGTACTAAAATAGCCTTCCTGCTACTTATTTAAAATATATACAGTTCTCTATATTTCCGTATTTTTTAATTGAAGACAATTTGCAAAATTTTATTAAAGTTTAGAGCATCATAGTCACACAAACCAAGATTCAGTTTGTTTGTATGCAGACATTATCTACTCTTTAAATGTTTCAGAGTGAGGATGCAACCGAACTGACAACTAAGCCAAAGAGAAGCTTCTATGCAGCAAGAGATTTGTACAAGTATCGACACCAGTATCCAGTAAGAAGATTTTTTTTTGGTTTAAAACCCTGTTTTAATAAAGTACAACAACATCCAAACAAAATCCCTAAGCCATATCATACCCTAATAAATATCAGAAATGAAAAAGCAGAAACTGATGGAATGGCTGAAAATGCCAAAAAAGGAAAGTATGGAACCAATGTCACACTGTTTCCTGCCAAACCAGGACAGCTTCTTCCTGCAAACTCTAGGAATTGGGGGACACATTAGACTGCCGGTAGAGGAAGAGCCATGACACATCATGTTGTCCATTAGTAAATCTGTGGAAATTGCCAAGGAGGTGCTGGCATGTCAGTTATTGTGTTACAGAAGCACCTTGAGGCTTCAACTGAAATCAGGGTCCTGGTGCTGTTAGGAGAATCCTTACCCCAAACAGTGTTTCATCTCCTACATCATTCAAACACTTATGCATGTACTTACCTTTAAGCATGTGTGCAATTCCCAGACGTTCAATATTTTCTTAAACGCCTGCATTTGTTGTTACCAAACTATGAAAAGAGCTGAATGCCAGTATCTTTCTACCATTGATACTTGTATTGCAGACTGATAATGCTTTTATTTTTTCCTTTTCAGCAGAACTTTAAGGATCTTCGGTATCAAAATGACTTGTGTAATCTCCGTTTTTATAAGAATAAAATTCCCTTTAAACCTGATGGTGAGTAATCTATAACAGCATAAACGATAACAGAAGTATAAGAATAATAATGAGGTAAAACTGAATGGGTATTTATGATACTAGGGGCAAGTTTTCTGCAGTTCATACACCATCACAGCAAAAAAGAGATTTTAGCAGTTTTGAAAGAAAATGAAAAACAAGAATTGAATGTTTGCAGCATTAGAAGCTACACGTGAGAGAGAATGGAGGCATGTGTATGAAAATTTAACAAGTGGGAGATGGAGACTCTCATTATGGGTCAGTTAGAGGCAGGAGTCAAGTCTTCTGACAGTAAATGAGATAAAATAATGGAGGAGAGGCCCAGGAGAGTTTTGAAAGTCAAGACATAATAGCTTATTTTTAATGAGATGGGAAAGGGGAACAAATATGGTGATTCAAAGAAAGTGGTGGCATGGAAAATGGTCCTTGCTGCAGCATTCTGGCAAGGTAGGATTGTATTTGTCAAAGTCAGAGAAAAAGGATGTTTCAACAAATTGAGATACAAGATAACCAAAACCTGGATGGGACTTTTAATTTTGTGCATGGATAGGAAAGATTTTCTTATACAGATAGAACTGGTAAGATTGAGACATAGCTTGGCTATGACGAAGTACAAAATCATAGAAAAATAGGGCTGGAAGGGACTACAAGAAATCATCTAGTCCAGTCCCCTGTTCAAGGCAGAAGCAACCCTGTCTAAACCAATGGAAGCAAATCTTTGTTTAACTTGCTCTTAAATCTACCAAGATTAGGGGTTCCGCAGACTCTTAAGTAGTCCGTTCAGGTGCTTAACCATTCGCACAGTGACAAAATTCTTCCAGAATTCAAGCTAAATTATCCTTGTTGCAATTTAAAACTATTATTTCTTGTCCTGTTTTCTGTGACCAGAGAAAATGGTCATCATCCTCTTTATTATCACCCTCTAGAAGCTTTATGGAGACTTATAAAATGAAGACTTATAAAATCATTCTCAGTCTTTTTTCTTCTCCATACTAATCCCAGTTCTACTAACCTTTCCCTGTAAGTCATATTTTGTAGACCTCTAATTATATTTGATGCTCTGTGTTGGACTCTTTTAATTTGCCCACAACTTCCTTGAACTGCCATGCCCCAAACTAGACATGATACTCCAAGTGAGGCCTCACCAGTGCTGACAGAGTGGGAAAATTACTAATTTGACTTGCAGGTGACAGTCCTGTAATACAGCTCAGAAGTTTTGGCCTTTTTTGCAAAAAGAGTGCACTGTTGACTCAAATTCAGCTTATGGTTCACTATAACCCTTAGGTCCTTCTCTGCAATACTGCAGCCTAGCCAGTCTATATATGTGCATATGATTGTTCTGTCTTATGTACAGTGCTTTGTGCCTCTTGCCTTTATTGGATTTCATTTGATTAAACAGAAAAAAGGGCCAAAGTCATCAAGGTTATTCTGAATATTCTGTCCTCCAAATTGCCTGGAACAACCCCCACTCTGGTGTAGGTAATTTGCTTACTGTATACTCCATCTCATCCTCCAAATCATTAATATTGGGTACTATTTAATATTTTAATTAAAGGGCTGGATGGCACTGTAGGCAGTGGCAAACATGATTTAGTTGTGCTACTGGGATCTGACAGATGATATCCTGAGTCTCAAAAACACATTCTGCCATGCCAGACATTCATGGCAGGATATGTGATTTTTGGGAGGATTGGGTATAAAATTAATCCAATCCCAAATGAGTGACTGCCCGCATGCAGGGAGCCTGGAATTTGGACTGGAGTTGACTAAATGCATACCGTGGCATGGGCAGCTGGGTATCAGGGAGCTTCTATGTGGCTGCCTGCATTGTGGATCATCTTCTCTCATATTCTTCATTTCCTCCTCAACACATAATTCATGTGACAGAGCCACGCAACTGCTTTATTGGCGACTCTTTCCAGGTCCTCATTCTGGATGTGCAGGTGTGCTGTGCGTGTGAGGAGATGGTCAGTAGTCTGTGATGCATCACCACACTCACATATTGGACTGTCCTTTAAACCAATCTGATAGTGTGGCATTAAATCATCTGGCTCCAGAATGAATTCTGTTTAGTTTAGTTCATAAATTGCGGGGGAGCTCGTACCCAGGTTGATAGGGTGTTGGGTTGCTTACAAAGCACTTGAGATGAGAATCAGTCTCCTCCTACATTAAACCTACCTACCTATTGTGGATCTGTCAATGATACATGTGCTTCTGGCTGCATCCATGCTAGAGCATGGACAGCTGGGGATCAGTGACCTTCATGTTCAGATTAAAGTGAGATGCAAGCCAGCCACAAAATGTTTCACATTAAATAAACAAGTGACTGAATTAACATCTGCCAGGGCCCTAAAGTACCACACTGCCCACATTAAATGTGAAACATCTTTGTAGGTGGTTTGCCAATTTTGTTACATGGTAAATTGGTTGAATGTATGATGTATTTTATTGCACAGTTTACACATTAACTGTGACTTCTGACAGGGGCCTAGAGACTACTTTGTCCAGAAATGGGTAAGCTTTCATAGGCAACAACCTACTTTATCATGTGCTAGCCATCTGCATCATCAGGTGTATCTGACAAAGCAGGGGGTTGCCTACTTCAAATGTTTATGCATTTCTGAGTGAGTTAGTTTCTAAGGGTGCCTGTACATTAGTGCAAAGTCTGCGCCAAGGCGCTGTAATTACAGTGCATCAGAGCAGACTCGATTAATTGAGTCTGCTGAAGCATGGTAATTACCATGCGCCAGCAGCCTCCTTCATCTCACGTATCAGTGTTCCTGCACTTAAAAACGGGGAACCACTTTTAGTTCAAGGACTCCCACTGCCATTTTTAAGCACAGGGACACTGATACACGAGACAGTAAGGTGCTTTAATTAGAGGGGCTCTTGGAGCCGTTCTAAGTGAAGCACCACCTCCCCCACCCCTAAAGCACATCCTATCCTGCCTTCTGTCTGATGTCAGACTACCTCTCCTTTAGCCACAGAGCCTTTGATGGCAACTTTCTGAGCACAGTGATCCAGCCAGTTATGCATTTATCACTTCAAAGAGGGTCGGAACACATAGCTTGTTAATAAAATGCTGTAGTACATAAGAAAAACAAAAGCACACATTCATTCAGAAAATATATAGTGGTTTATTTGGATGATTTTAGAGCAGTGGTCACCAACCGTTGGATCTCGATCGACCAGCAGATCTTGGAGCCTCTTGGAGTTGATCTGAGGCTCGGGTGGGGGGCTGAGCGTGCATGCATGCACCTCACCCCCAGCCTAGCAGACCAATCCATAGGGGAGGGAAGGGGCGGAGGCCAGATCAAGGCCTCAGCGTTCAAGGACAGTGCCACAGAGGCAGGAGCAGGGGTACGTTAAGTGGGTCCCCAGCCAGCTAAGCGGGTGGTGGGAGGATCAAGCCTGGGTGTCTCATCCAGGAGCATGGGGGGCTCCTGCCACTGTGTAGCCTGGCAGAGGCCCTGGGGGGCACATGCCCATCCCATCTGTGCGCAGAGGAGGCAGCTGCTGTTGCGGGCTGGGCTTTGCACTCTGAGCCCACCTGTAGCCCACCCAGGAGTGGCCTGACACCACATGAGTCCCACCGCTGGGCAGAGAGGGGACTAGGCTCAGCCCAGCAGCTGGATGCATGTGGTGTCGGGCCACTCCTGGGCCAGCTGCAGCTGGACTCAGAGTGCAAAGCCCAGCCTGCAATGGCAGTGGCCTCCGCTGCGCACAGATGTGGGGGCATGTGCCCCGCCCCGGCCAAGCTCCAGGCAGCACTGGCGGCTGCAGCAGCAGTGAAAGAAGGAGGAAGGTGAGCTGGAACAGGGGCAGGCCCTGCACAGCCAGAGTGGGAGACAAAAGCACGAGTGACTCATCCAGGTGCCACGCAGCCCAGCAGAGCGTGGCGGGCATGTGCCGCCCAGATCTGTATGCCGGCTGGGCTGGCTGCTGCTGCAGGCTAGAACTGGGGTGCGCCGGGTGACACTGGGAGCAGGAGTATGCAGGCCCCTGAAAATTTGCCATAGCCCCTTCTCCCAGCAGTGCTGCCTGGCCCAACCACAGCATGGAGCAGACTGCCACCATTAACAGCACCGCTCTGGCGTTCAGCCCCAGCCGCCCCCCTTCCCCCACAGATCCTGGAGGGGGAAGGGGCGGGGTAAAGGGAAGGCAGTGCTGTGCTCTTCACGCAGTGGTCTGCTCTGCACTGCTGTGTTCGGGCTGGACAAGCACTGGGAGCAAGAGCTATGGTGAATTTTCAGGTGCTGCAGCCCACTGCATAGCCCCGTTTCCAGTGCTGCCCGGCACACCTCAGCCACAGCCTGCAGCGGCAGCTGGCCCAGCTGGTGTGCAGATCCAGGGGCACACGCCCCCCGTGCCCTGCTGGGATGTGTGGTCTTTGCTCCCTGCGGCCCCCAGACGAGCTGCTTGCGACTTCGTCCCCCGCCCCAGCTGTTCTGGGCCCACCCCTGCTCCAGCCCACCTCCCTCATCCCCCTGCTTCAATCTGCCCTCCCCCCACTTCCCTCCCCACAGACTTACCTGCTGGATGGGGGGAGGGGAAAGAGAATGGTGCACAGTAGATCTTGGGTTGCTTTTAAATGCCAAAGGTGATCTCCTACTTAAAAAGGTTGGAGACCACTGTTTTAGAGTGATTTTATTGTGGAATGTAGCTTTTAACAAAACACACATCCAGCATGTTTTTGGATTTCGAATATTCTTTCTGGTAGTTTTATCTACACTGTATTTCATTTAGCTTCTTAATGAGAATATAATGGGAGATGGTGTCAAAAGCCTTGCTACAGTTGAGGTGCACCACTTCCATTGTTCACCCCCTAGCCACAAAACCAATGACTTCATTGTAAAATGAAATCAAGTTGATTGAGAATAACTTGCTCTTGACACATCCATGTTGATAGTTCCTGATCACTAGGGATCCTGGTTTTCTCTGATAAAAATCCAAAATTCTCTGGTTAAAACCCCCCAAATCCACATTTTTCTACAATTAAAATGAAATGCCACTATATATATATATATATATATAGGTGTTAGGTGGACACAATGTTTAATTGATATATTTGCAATTTTAAAGCAGTTTGGAAGCCTCAGGATTACAATAAAATACATTCTAAATACAGGTTTCCCTCGATGTATGCGGTAGAAGTGTTCCCTCAAAACTGCACATAAATTGAATTTGCATAAAGGGAACCCAGTTTATAAAGTAACAAATAGGGATACGTTCCCACGGTGGTGAGGGAGCGAGGCTGGAGCTAGGGAAGGGGGGGGGAGAGGGGTGCGGTGCAGCCCAGCGGCTGCAAGCAGACAGTGTTGGCTGCAGCAGGGGCGGCACCGAGTTCTTCCAGGTGCTCAAGGCAGGTGTTAGCCTGCTCTTGTCCCACCACAGGCTGGGGCCGGCAGCCTCTGCAGGCTCTTCCCAGCGCTTGGCGAGGACCCTGGTGATGAGAGAGGGACTGCTGCCACCCCAAAATTCACCATAGCCACCCACTCTCCCCCAACCTGCCCTCCCAGCACCGCCGCTGAGCGCTGGGAAGAGCCCAGTGCTGCCACCAGCCCCAGTCTGCAGCAGCCACTGGCTCCAGCCTGTTCTCATCCTGCTGCAGGCTGCCACCCGCCCCGAGCACCAGGAAGATCCTGGTGCTACCGCTGGCCCCAACCTGCAGTGGGACGAAAGCAGGCTGCTGCCAGCCCCGGGAGCAGCCAACAGGCCAGGCCATGCCCCTCCGCCTGCCCCTTCCCCTACAGACTTACCTCTCCATGCCATGGCCTCCATAAGAGGAGCCCCAGAGCTGATCACATAAGAGTGAATTTACCTTGTATATAATGAATTTGGGGTATAAAAAGGGTCATCACATAAGAGCAAATTTGCATATATAGAACCTGTATAAATCAAGGGAAACCTGTACCCATATATTTTGGTGTTTGATTTTGTTTTTCTTATTATGGAAAAATCTGAGCTTTCCCTGCTCCCTTCGATCACTAGACACAGGTCCAGCTGTGGCTGTCCCTCCTGCTTCTTTGTGGTGCTGAGCAGCCCTGATAGGCCAGTGCCCTACCCCTGCCCATGCTGTTGCCCCTCACTCCCAAGCCACAGCCCCCTGGCCCTGCCAGTGCCCCTCACTCCCAACCTGCTGCTCCCCAGCCCTGCAGTGTGAGGAAGGGAGTGCTGTTTTTCTAGGACTTTGTCTGACTTCCATGATTTCTCAAGGCTGAAGAATTCAGTGCCTTGGTCTTCACAGGCAAGGTCAGATTCCAGACAGTCTGGGGAGCAGGTAAGTAGGCAACAGTGGCAAAAGAACAGCTTAGGGATCCTTAATGATTTTTTCCAGAGTTTTCGCAAGGATAGAGGTGAGGTCTTCAAAGAGGATAGCCAGTAGTTTTGGAGTTGCCTCAGCTAGATCCTTGAGTACTCTATGATGTAACTCATCCAGCCCTGCTGATTTAAAAGCATCCAGCTTCTCTAAGTAATCTCCGACCTGTTCTTTCCCTCCTCTACGCTGATTATCTTCTTCCTCATCTGTGCTGCCAGAGTCATGCATCATCTGATAGCTGACCTTATTCATGAAGTCTGATGTAAAAAAAGGCATTAACTAGTTCAACCTTCTCTACATCCTCCGTTGCTAGATTGTCCTCTCCATTCACTAAGGGAGCTACACTTTATCGGGTATTATTCTTCTAACTTATTTGTTGAATGCTTTTTTGATGGCTGTTATGTTCCTGTCTGTGTGCCTTTGCCTTCCCAATTTTTCTCCCTGCATACTTCTGCAAGAGTCTTCTACTTATGCCTAGTAACCTGGCCAAGCTTCCACTTTTTGAGAGATTCCTTTTTGAGTTTCAAGTCATTGAAGTTCAAGTCTAGTTAGCTATGATGGTCTCTTGTTACACTTTGCTGTACTTCCTATTCTTCCTCACTTCAGGAAAGAAGAATGCTCTCTTGCATACTTAATATGGTTTCTTTAAAGTACAATTCAGTTTTCCTAGATTCCTTTTCCCTTCAGGCTTTCATCCCATTGAATCCTGCCTGCCTAGCTTCCTGAGCTTTCCTGAAGTCGAGGACTTCTGGATTGCTGAGCCAGCTTTGCGATGGATAGTAAAGGTGATCAGCTCGTGGTCACTATCACCCAGCTTTCCATTGATTCTTAGGTTGCTGACTAGATCATCCCCTTTGTCCAGTACCAGGTCCAGCAACACTTTACCTCTTGTCAGCCCATAGACTTTTTGAGTCAGGTAGAGCTCTTCCATGCACGTGAGAAAGCTTTGCGACTGATCAGATTTGGCCGAGTGCTCTTCCCATGAGATGTTCAGGTAGTTAAAGTCTCCCATGACAACCATGCACCAGGAACGTGCAGCCTCAGCCAGTTCCCTGGCAAATTCCTGGTCTACCTCTTGTTTCTGGTTAGGAGGTCTGTAGTAGACTCCTGCCATGTCTCCTGTGCCATGTTCCCCATGTATTTTAACCCAGAGGGACTCTGGTAATCCTTCTTGGGTGCCAAAGTCAAATTGCAGGGATGTGTAGCTGTCCTTGACATAGAGAGCTACACCCCCACCCCTTTTGTCTACATGATTGTGCCTGTACAGGGTATAGCCATCTATACCTGTGGCCCAGTCATAGGTGGAGTCCCACCAGGTCTCTGTTATCCCTATGAGGTCATAATCATTTTTGTTTAGTAGGAGGACCTCCTTCTGTTTATTTCCCAAGCTCCTGGTATTGGTGTACAGGCAGGCAAGTGTCCCATTAGGGGCTCCTGCCTTCCCCACAGATTGATCTGGGGCTAGTGTAGGGGTGGGTTCTCTTAAGTGCCTTAGCCTGCTGGATTTAGAAAGGTTGCCCAGTGGGCTTGCAGTGGTGGTAATCCCCCCAACACCCGGCGGGCTTAGTTTAAAGCCTGATCAAGCAGGTCAGCCAGTCTGGCTGAGAAGAGCCACCTCCCCAATGGAGTGAGGTGGAGGCCATCTCTCCCCAGCAGACCACCACCTCTTTCACCAAAGAACGGACTGCGAGCATGGAAGCTGAAGCCTTCACGATGACACCAGCGCCGCAGTCTTTGGTTGACTGCCTCGACCCTCCACAACTGGGAGGAGCAAGGAAAAGACTACCTGTGCCCCTAAGCCCCGCTCCCAGAGCCCCGTAGTCCCTCATGACCCGGCTCAGATTGCTCTGAGCTGTGTAATTTGTGCCCACATGGATAAGGAGCATAGGGTAGTGGTCAGAGGGCCGGATAATCTTTGGGATTCTCTCTATGTCCCGGATGCCGGCCCCTGGGAAGTAGCAGACCTTCTTTTCCTTCTTGGGGATAATGGGACAATCTACCCCCTGCTCCTCCTCTATCCATACCCATGTTGCCAGACTTGAGAAGGGTGAGAGAGTAAAGATTGGAAATTCTTCCACCCTGCTAGGCCTGGCAAACTGGAGACAGGGATACTGTGGCACTGCATCTTCATGATGTTCAAGAAAGAGTTATGAAGAACTTCTGGAGCTGCAGGAGGAGCAGATTAGCAGGACCAGGGGAACAAAGTTGATGTGAGCAGTAAGAGGGAGGGGAGGCATCAGTGACAACTGGGATGGTGAATGGGCAAATGTTGGGATAACGAAGCACAGAATGAACTAATTAGAATTTTATAGTAGAAGAGAAGGTAGAGGCTGTGGACTATCAGCCAGTTTGCAAGAACTCCTACAACCAGGCACCAGAATGATTGGACTCATTACATTTGGGCAAGTTAACACTGTCATTCACTCACTGGAGATGGGCAGGGGGTAGAGACAGAAGTTCTGGAAAAGGAAGGCATTTCTTGTGAAGGAAACGGTTTATTTTGAAGCTATGGAAAAACTAGGAATTTTACAATTCTAGCAAGGGAAGTTCAAAATTCAAGAGAGCAAACCTATAAGATTGGCCTAAAAATCATGATTTTTAGGCCAATTTCATTATTTTGATTAGTTTGACTTATGAACTTTGAACTTTGAGGGCTTGCTGAACTATTATAGTTTTAAATCAGAGAGGATCTAGCATTGGAACCTCTGAAAATTGTACTCCTAAAATTAGATTATTCTGTGCTGGGGATAAAGAACATCTTTTCGTCCTTGCATGTGACTTTGGCTCCTAAGTGTTGCTGTGGTAGAAATAATTAATTTTCGTGTGTGTGTGTTTGGTTTGTCCCTCTCGTGTTGGATGGAGCGGTTGCTAGAAGGCCAAATAATCTTTTGAGACTAATACAAGTTGAGTTTCTCAGATCATAGTAGTTTGTTCCTGTCTGACTAGAAAAACTCAATCTTTAGCAATACTCGAGGCATCAGAATTTTCACCCACAACTAAGTGAAACAGATTCCTGGGTCCTAATGGTTTTAGCATTTGGGGAGATGCTTGAATGGATTACTTTCTTCCTGCATCAAGAACACATGTTACTTAACAAGGATCATATGTTAACATTTCTTCCATTGTAAACTGTAACAAGCTTTTATTTTTCTAACAGGCTTTTCCCACTGAGAAAACAAGGTTTGAACATCTGTGATAGGATCATGTGTTAAAGTAATGATTAGATATCTCCCTCTGAATATCATATCTAAGTAGTTTGTCAAGATAGATGCAATAAGAAACCTGGACCATTGAATACATGATGATCAATATACCTTACACAGGTTACAGCACCATATTTTCAGCTGGTATAAATCAGTGTAGCTCCACTCATTTAAGTGGAAATCAATGGAGCTATGCTAGTTTGCACCAATTGAAGATCTGATCTATATTAATTACTCTCTATCTGTGGTCTGTGCTAATGGGTGTTTTTCAATTGACTATTGGGTGTGATATGGGACCAAATTATATATTTTAGTTTTATATTCAGGTCACATGTGCTTTCTTGATATACTTGAAAGTTGTTTTGGATGGCGACCTAATAGTGTCCCGATTTATTTATACAGGCGTCTATATTGAAGAAGTCCTAAATAAATGGAAAGGAGACTATGAAAAACTGGAACATAACCACACTTATATACAGTGGTTGGTTACTTATTAGCTATTTCTGTTTTAAACCTTTGATTTGGTTAAGTGTTTCTTCCACAGTAAACTGTAACAAACTTTTTTTCCCAACAGGCTTTTCCCACTGAGAGAACAAGGTTTGAACTTCTATGCTAAAGAATTAACTACATATGAAATTGAGGTAATGAAAATTTTGCTTAATGTAAACTGTTGGGTTAGTATTGATGCTTCTTGTTGTGTACAATGCAGAGTACTTATTTTAGGACTGTTTTGGATTTTAGATTAATTTTGTTTGTTTGTTAGGAATTCAAGAAAACTAAAGAAGCAATTAGAAGATTCCTGTTAGCTTACAAAATGATGCTGGAGTTTTTTGGAATAAAACTAATTGATAAAACTGGAAATGTAGCACGAGCTGCTAACTGGCAAGAAAGATTTCAGCATTTGAATGAGTAAGTAATGGCATGCCCTACATACTTTAGAATTGGCATAGAATTTTCATCCTTTGTTTTCCAGAGAAAGACCGGATATATTTTCCAAAGAATGCCAGGAAAGGGAGAGAGACAAAAAAGAATTGTTTTGTGTCTGTATGTGAGCATCTCTCCTACATATTCTTGTGATTATGCTGCTCACCTGCTGTCAGTCTAACCAAAAGCAATGAATTTCTTGAAAATAGAACTTTGAAGTGAATAAGAGCACAATTCCAAATTAAGTTGTATAACAGGCTATTGTACAAACTTCTCTGCTATTTCTAAAGTGACACTTCTGCACTGTTAAGAAACACTCGATTATCTAAGCATTTGTTTGTCTTTTTCAAGAAGGAATAAATGAACCGTGCTTTTAGTGGAGCTGAGTTAAGTTTCCTCCCCCACAAATTAAACATTTTGCTATTTAATGCATGTAGCTATAACATTTAAGTGAATAGCTTGAACATGTACTGGACCAAACCTTGCTACAACTTTTGCAATATGCATATTACCTTTGTAGGGATTATCTAGGAAGTAAGTCTTCATTGCATTTGGCCCACACCATATCCAAACATTGTATTTATTTATTTATCTTACTAATTTTCTAACTCTTCTGACCTTAAAATTGAAGTATGTTTGCTTGCAATATTTGCTCCTTTCATTACAATCACACCCTGGTTTCTTAAAAGTAGGATTGCTTATGAGCAAATGGGGTGAATAATATTTGGGGTTTTTTTAAGTCACCAAATAGTTCATTGATATAGTAATCAGCTGAGTCATTCCATTGACCTGAATGGATGGAGATGGGACTATTCTGTTTGGCTATAAGAAACAAGACTAGAAGCCGTGGTCTCGGACTGCAGCAGAAAAACTTTAGGCTGGAGATTAGGAAGAACTTTCTGACTGAGGGTAGGTAGTTAAGCGTTCAAACAGTTTACCTAGAGGGCTAGTGGAGTCTCCATCCGTGGAATTGTACAAGAGCAGGGTAGGCAGACAGTTAACTGGGATGGTTTAGTCAGGGATGATCCTGCCTTGAGCAGGGGGCTGGACCAGATAACCTCCTAAAAATTCCCTCCTGGGACTGCTTTCCAGTGATTCTGTAATTCTGTGACCTTACTGGACTTTGATTCAACCCAAAATAAGACAGAATTTCTCAGGAGCCCCAGATCTTACTCACTGCACATTTTGTATGATTCAAGTCTTCTAAAAGCTAATTAGCAAGTTTTAAGACAATGAAATATTGCTACAATAAATAAATCATATTAGTTAGTTTCTTAGTTATTTTCATCCAAAGATATTCAAGTTCTTCACAGATATTAATTATTACACACTGCTCCTGCAACAAAGGTATTATTAAGCATTATTATCTGCATTTTACAAATAAGAAAATAAGGCACAGAATGGTTAAATAACATATTCAAAGTCATCCAAAGGTAAGCCAGCTCTGGTCCTATAACCTAGTAGATTATGTTCTCTTTCTGGTTTTAACTAAATTAATTTTATAACTTTTTCGTTACATTATTTTTATCTGAGCACAGTTAATCCTTTCCTTCAGATCCCAACACAACTACTTAAGAATCACTCGCATTCTGAAGAGCCTTGGGGAGCTTGGATATGAAAGTTTCAAATCTCCTCTTGTGAAGTTTATTCTCCATGAAGCTCTCGTGGAAGACACCATTCCTAATATTAAGCAAAGTGCTTTAGAATATTTTGTTTATACTATTAGAGACCGAAGAGAAAGGAGGAAGCTCCTGAGATTTGCCCAGCAGCATTATGCCCCTTCAGAGCATTTCATTTGGGGACCACCAAAAAAACAGAAATCAGAAGGAAACAAAACAAGTAAAAAGTCAGCATCCCCAGTCTCTGTTCACAACAGTTACATTTCTAAACATAAGAAACAAAAAGATCTGAAAAACACATCTACAACTGGTGGCTCAAGTAGCAAAGCAGCTGAAGAAAAAAAGGTAGAACTTACAAAAAATGGTGAAGTAAATGACCAGAATGGATCAGAAATCAGTTGTGAAGCAGCTAAGCAGAGCAATGGTGAAAAGAACAATGATGCTGAAAGTCAGAATTCCAAATTAGAAAAAGTTCAAGATCCTTCAGACAAAAAGGAGAACATTTCTCATTCCAAAAAAGAAAGCGAAAAAGATGATGAAAATCCAAACCAAGATTGTGAAAATCCAGGAGTTGTAGAGGGAGGTTTGTGTGACAATGAGAATGGTTCAAATGATGTGTCAACAGATCTGCAAGACATCTTAGGTAAGGATAAACCTCCAGTGGAAACCACCATGAAAAACAAAGATGAAATAAAATCATGAATCTAAAATTAAACAAATTATGTTTTGTACTGAATGAAACAAATTATTCATGGCTCTTTAATTTTGGATGAAGTTGCTGACTAATGTAGCATAAGGAGGTTCATGACACCAAACTGGATATGAATGCATCAGATTAGGCTTTTGGTGGGGTGATTTTTTAAAACTTTGTTTACAGTACACTACTCAAAATGGATTTAAAACAACTGTACAAGTTCAGAACCTAGAAATTCATTCTCTTTTTTGCTAGATTGCAGTCTACAGAGAAAATAAGACCACTTTACTACATCAATCATCTATCATTTTAAAAATTACAGCACTAAAAATATCTAGGAATGCCTACATTTTTTGTTTTCTAGGAAAAGGATACTGTGTTGATTTTCTTCCCCAGGATGATCCAGTCTTTTCTCTTCAGTTGCATTTTAAGGTGTAAAATTTGATGCAAAGTCTGTAATCACAGTTGTGCACTCTTGGCAAAAGTGTTTCAGAGCTGAATATCAAAGTGTTCCATGTTATTAAATATCATTCTAAGAAGACTGGAAGTCTTACTCAAGATCAAATTGTACAGTGTGTAAACCACAACTGTCTTTGTTATGGGGGCATGGGTCAGATAAGCTTAAGTTCTCTTTGTTCTTCTCAAGTGTTCTCCTCTGTGATGGGTTTTGCTACCTTTACCCCACTCTGAGTAGAAACGTGATCCTTCTACTCCTAGACTGGTTCTCTACATGGCATCCCTTCTGTGGTCACCAATCATGATAATACCCAGACAAGTTTGACACCATTGTAAACCTTTTTTAAGGGGAACCCATGACAAGCAGATGCTTTAAGTCAGGGGTGGCCAACCTATGGCACAAGTGCCACAAGTGGCATGGGCATGGGCACCCTTTGTGTGTGACACACAGCAAATTGGGGAGAGGACAGGCAGCACAGTGGCTGGGTAGTACAGGGAACAGAAAGCAGAACATCAGATCAGGCAGGGAGTATGGGGAAGGAAGCAGAAAGCATAGCAGCAGGTTTGGCAAAGAGTACAAAGCAGGGAGCAGAAAGCTGACCAGAAGATCAGGTAAGGGAAAGGAATTTGGAGTGATTTTTGGTGAGGATGTGGGGCTAATTTGTGGCAAACCTGTCAAAACAGTTGGCCCCTGGTTGGCCTCATTGCTTTAAGTAGTTCAAAAACAGCTTCTTCAAAAATAAGGCATTATTTAAGCACCAGGGGTACTGTACATGCAGAGAAAAGAAAAGAAAATACCTCAATGCATCAATTTTATCTAAACTTTATTCTTGCCTTTCAAGCTTTGGGTAAGTTCCACTCAGCCTAGGAACCAAACCCCTGGCCTGGGATATAGACAGATGGCCTTGCAGAAGTCTGTCAGCATGTATCTGTCAAAGATTTGTTATGCTGTCTGCTCACTGCACTCGCTTGCTAGGTATGTTGCTTTGATCCTAGGCTGAGGCTTGGCAAGATTAAATCCCAGGTTGAAGCTTTAACCCAGGTTGAACTTTAGTAGTCAGCCATTTCCCAAGTAAGTGCTCTCCACACAGTGTACCCAGAGGAAGCCTTGGCTTTCCCTTTTGTAGGTCTCTTATCTCTGTCTTGCTTTGCTCCCTATTTGTTTTTTCCTAACAGCCTTCTTTGATTTAATTTCATGCAGTCAGCTAAGGTCATATCAAGCAGGTAGACTGAAGTGCTTAGGATGGTAAAGAAAAATAATCTAAAGAAAACTCACTGTTTCCCATGCTGCTAAAACAGTCTTGCTTAACTCTGTGAAATGCACATACATTATACTACTGTGAATTGTTTTTAGTAAATGTTATGCTGGTAACTGACTACAGCAGTAGTGCAGGAGTACTGTAGAACTTGAAATGAAAAAAGCTACTTTGATTTAGCAAACCATAAATGTCATGATTTTTCTTTTCCACTGATTCCCCCAGGAATATGGCATGTATTCCTCACTTTCCCCACCTAATGCTTCCAGAGAGCTAGATCAGGGTCGGCAAAATTTTTGGGCAGAGTGCCAAAAACATCTGCAACCTTGACTTGGTTAGTTCTGCTAATCCCTTTACCTCTTGCTCCTCCTGTGATGACTCAAAGACAAAGGGGTGTGTGGCTATACTTCTTTAGGATGCGTGCTCCTCTTGCAAGCCCAGTTGCTGAAGAAGGCTAAAGCAAAATGCCTCTCAGTATTCAACACCCCCTGCCCCCACTCCCCCCCAGACGCACACACCTGCTGGGGATGGAAAGGTTCAGAGAATTTGATCTAAATGCTGCCGAGGACCTTGGATCAGGCTACTGGTTTTCATATTGGTCTCTTATCTAATGGGCAAACAGGAAGGTTTTCCCCAACCCAGCAGGTTCCAGAGCAGAATGCGTGTTCTGTCTCTCTTGTCCTATCCTGCATCAGAGTCTTATGGAGATTTGTAAAAGGGGAATGAGATTGCCCCTTCCCTGCTCTTCTCTTATTCTCCTCATGATGATGGTAGGAGTTCTCCACTGCACTGTTGCTTTTGGCAGCTCTGTGTCTGTGAGAGGGGGAGAGGGGCAGTCTGAAGTCCTTATACCCCAGTCCTCCTTGGTATATAGCTCTACTGTCTGCCTCTGCTGTTTCTTGGGACTCGCCAAGTAGCAGCAGAGTGAAACTTACCAGATTGTTAGTTCTTTTATCACAACCAATATTTTTCATAACTGCTGCCTAGGATCCTAATGAGATATCAATTTTTACTGTTCCGCACACCAGAGAAAACAGCCGAGGTTCGCACAGAACCCAGTCATGGAAGGTAATGATGACAACTGTTGGAATGGCAAGTTGCTTTCCCTTAATGGTAAAAAGTTCTATTTTAAGGAAAGCAGTGGTCCTTGCCTGCAGAGCTACTTTTTTGCCGTGGGTATGCCCTTCCTACCAGCCTTCGTTTAACAGATAAGGATATATAACTTCATTTGCATGCAATTGTGTAATTTGCATTAAATAGTGAATTCAGATCTCTGTACTTGTAAGCTACTATACTGTAGTGATCCATAATGACCCACTGATTTTACAGGAAATTACTTTTGAATTACCCCTTGGCCAGCATACCAGTCACAGTGGGTGCAGCTACATGTGCCAGTAAGGGGATGCGATAAATTGTGGTGTATTTGTGCCAGAGTTTATCATGGTGCCTTAATGGGATGTGTAGATGCTGAGACTGTTGCAGTCCAGGGCACACATGCAGACACTGCTCGTGGGAGACTTGGGGCAGGGGACTTGAGGGAGCGGGGTGGGGGGGCAGGGTCAGCCCGAGGCTCCAGGTGCCAATGTTGGGTGGCAGAGAGGCTGACTGGGGCACAGGAGTGCTAACATGAGGGGTGGGTGGCAGGCAGCCCCTCCAGTTTTGCACCCTCATGCCCCAGCCAGTCCTAGTCACGATCTACACGTGCGCTTTGGTGCAGTAAGTAACTGCACCATAAGATAAGTCCCTGTCCCTGACAGTGCTATCTTTACAGTGCAGTTAATCTACTGTGCCCTAATACCTGTGCATGTATGGATGGTGTTGCTTTACTGCGGAGCTTTTTAGTCAACTCTGCAGTAAAGTGCATGTATAGATGTGTCCAGTATGTCTTTCATTATAAGTGATGCAGGTGACTGCTGGTTGTGAAGATTGCCTGACATTTCCATTATAAGTTCATTTTCAGTTACTTCCAGCATTGTAATGCTTTGACTTTAGACTTGTAGAGTAGAGGGCTGGACAAGGACCTTTGGGAGATGTAAATTGGGAGTAGGGATGGAAGGACAAGGGCAGAATCTGAGCCAAGCAAAAGATGGAAGGAACAAGAACAAGGAAAGGAAGAGGAGTAGATGTGGGAAAATTTGGGAGTAGGAGTTGGGGTGGAAGGACAGGGAAAGGGATGAGGGAAGGAGCCGAAGTAGGGAAGCAGAGAAGCTGGGAAAGGTTGGGGACAAGAGCTGGAGCTGAGGGAGGAGTTTAGCAGCAAGGAAAGGGACATAGACAAGAGCTGGAGAGGCAGGAGATAGAATCAAAAGGACTTCTTGAGAAAAAAACATTGTGTGTTCATGTAAAGACTCTGAAGGTGTGTGCAAGGAGGACAAAGTCATGGTGCACAGACAACTTTATTTTTGGCATTTCGTAAATCGTGCATGCTTTGTAATCTATATAATGTTCTTTTAATGTAATATTTTTCAAGATGTAATAAGAGAATATTAAATTCTCTGTAGGATGAGCATAAGTAGGGGGTAGGAAATATTTGAAAATGCTAAGAGCATTCAGTTTAAATAGCTATGTTAAGGCTAAGCATTTAACATATTCATATTATTCTTGGAATTAATATGTACATGAGTTGATATATTTTAAATAGGGAAAACAGATGAATAGTATATTTTACTTTATTTTACAGGATAGTATAGGATATAATGTATCAGAATTTGAATTTATCTAGAATGCCTCCACAGAACTTCCTTTTTTCATCTACAGTCCAAAAAATAGTGAAATCTGGGTTCTGAATTGTATATGGTTAGGATCAGGATTTTTGGAGTGTGAAATCAAAAAGTCCACGGTTGATGGAATGCATTCTGTAATAGCATTGACACATATCTATGGTATATGACTGTCTAGTCAGAACTAGATATCTAACATGAAATGGTCTGATGCATTCCTTTTTTCAGTAGTGCTGAATGCTGAGTATGGTGAAAAATTTAGATACCAGCATACTGCCTAAATTTAAGCCACAGTTTGAATATTTTGGCATGTTCTCATGAAGATGAGACTAGCAAGGAAATATAAATTTCCAACAAAGTATCATATGGCAATAAAACTAATGTCTTCATGCCTAATGGCACTTTTGGGTTCCACAGTTTTTGTTTTTGTAGCTTCACCAGTAGAACAATTCCTATATGGCAACTTCATTTAACTAAGAAATTCCATTATACATAAAATGCAAAGGCATTTCCTTAT